TTTGAATGTATACACTATGTCTCAAATCCCTGCTATATGCTACATACCATCATGCATATTGTATAGCTTTGCTTCCATTCATCCAACTCATCTATTTTCCTATGAAAGATCCATTGTAGGTAGGATAAATATACGTGTGTATAATTTTAAATATGTGACAATTAAAATAAAATAGCTTGTTAAAATAAAAGCAACCCAAGAATTTGGCTAGAAGTTTGGAATGATGTTATACAGGCAATTAATTAATTATAATTATCTACACAGGGAAATTGATCTCTATAGTGTATACCAGTATAATTCCATGATAAGAGAATACATATGGGGAGTTGCAATGTGTGGACATAAGGACAAGTTATCATGGAACAAAAAGGGGTTTGGCTTTACTGAAACTCAGCCACTCTGTTGGTATATTCACACTTATCCCATGGTAAGAACCATGGTAACTCAGTCTTCCTGCACAGAGAGCTAAATAACTGCAGGTTAGCTTCCGCTTCCTGTGGGGTAAGAGCTTGCATACAGACAGATATTCCAGACATCTGACATGCCATGAAGTCTCATCGCCTTTTATTTGGTGGTAAGCTGTTTATAAGCCCGTACCAACAGGGGTATAGTAGTTCTTTTAGTCAGTTTTCCATTGTAAGCCCTTAGTATACTTTAAAAACCCCAAAGGCTGATTTTAGTATCATAAGACATGACATGTTTCCCATATAACAAAAGAGATAGGTCTGGATTTTCATTTGCAATTTACATTTATGCTTATTTCTCATTTACTAAAAAGTTTATTTTCTAGCTCACCTCATTCTTTATACCATTCTTTACCTTTATACTGTAAAGCCACATTAATTTAAGTGAGAGTGAGACCCACAGATATTACAGAAACTAATAAATACTGCAAATAAGAGCACTTTCCTCAGTGTATGATTGTTCTAAATGCAAATACAACTCTGCTATAAGTTTATTTTCCTACCTCAGCTTAGCCTTTAATAACCAGGAGCATTATTTTTTACCACATGAATTAGAAATTGGGTTTTTATGGCTATTGTCTGGGGAATGCCTATAGGTTTGGAGTTTGTTCTTTTTTAACTCATTTGGGGAGATTAGGTCACTGTTGTTCAATGCAGGCTAGCTCAGAGCTAGAAAAAAACAATGGTGGGAAGGGGAAGCTGGCACTGTGAAAGCAGGTCACTGCTAGACAAGAATGAAACCATATTATGCTGTTTTACTTGTCAAGCATAACTATTCCTGTTATGTACTACATACCTTGACAGCTATGTTTCCTTCCTCTTCATTGGTCTTAGGAAATTGTTTGAATCAATTCAATTTGGCTTGAAATGTATCTGGATATAACATACCAGTTATTAAAACATAGAAATTAATAAATCAACAAATGCACAGGTGTTTCAGACCATGTAATGATAGGTTACTCTCATAAAGTTCTAAACTTTCCTGTTGCATGCGTGTTCTAGCTGGGCTACCACTAGTGAAACTGGCATGAGGTCTCCTGTGTAAATTAGAAATAAAATCTCATGTCTACTTATTCTTCTATGTAGTGTCTCTTCTTGCAGTCAAAACAGAGCCCATGAACAGCAGTGAAACAACAACAACAACTGGAGATGGATCGCTTGACACTTTTACTGGGTCAGGTAAAGCCACAAATAAGATCACATACTATTAGATAATGTAACATTAATAACCTTCACTAATGGACATTTCATTGCATGGAGGAATTCTCTTAAATTCTGTAATAAAGTAGTTTTTAATGCAAAACAGTAAGAATAGCCTTTTGTGTAAACACCTTAACTTACAGTTCTCATCATTTATCCTTTTAAGAAAGCTTGTTAATTAGGATAACCATTCTCAGGGGCAGAAATATTACATTATAACATTCATGTATGTAGTATCTTTTACAGTGGTGTCATCTCAGCAACAGTAAAAGAAAACTGGGTGGTATTAGAATGAGCTATTTTAACTTATACAGTTACAGTCTGAAACATGTATTACAGTGATAAAACTACCCTCTTATTCATGTGAAGTTAAGACTGTGTGACTGAATATAAGTAACCTTATTTCCTCAGTGGATTTTAAAAATGTAGCAAGTAGCTTTCCATTAAGTATGAAAGGTCAGTGGTGTAGTAGAAAGTACATATTCCTAGCATAAAAGAATCATAGAAAATAGGGCTGGTATCTTGCTAAGGCTCAGTCTTCCTAATATTAATATTAATGGAAAAGAGAATAACAACATATTTATATAAATCAGTTCAGCATGGGCCTTATCAAAGGACATTAAAGTCATTGGACGTCAACAAATACCCTACACTGACTTCAGTAAGATTTGGAGCAGACCCTTTTTATTACGATGGCAATCAGAGAAGGGTACAGGATAAATTTATGTTGTAAACATTTTCTAAAATATTCTATGAATCTATGAAAAACTGAGTATACTAACACATTCCTTATTCTGTTTCCAGAAGATTAGAAATGTGTATAAAGTAAGTATGCAAATTAATATGCAAATGTCCAGTGAGTTGTATAGTGTATGGTACAGTGGGTTGATAGAAGGGGCATTTATAAGATTTAAAACAAAGACACAGTTTATTTAATCACAAAAATCAAAGTTTGATCCTCATCAGGGTTGTGCCAAAATGGACACCATCAACAGAAAACCTAGCAAGTTTTGCAAATATGGAGTTGGCCAGAAAATGGAAATTTTTCAATTTTTATTAATACTTCTTATTCCAATCTGAAATTTTACTGGTACCAGTACATTTTTAAAAATGACAAAATGTGATTTTGGTTCTGCTACTTTTATTGACCTGGGCTGTACATTTAAAATCTCTAGGCTTTATTTTCAGAAAAGTCTAGGGCAGATTTTCAAAAGAGGTGCCTAATATTGTTCTCCTAGAACCATATTTAGAACAGTCTAATTTTCCAGAATGTCAGCCACCCAGCATCTCCCACTGATTTCAAAGGAAATCAGAGAGTGCTTTGCACTTTTGAAAATCAGAACACAAAAAACACCTGGGAATCTGACTTCAGAAATATGTATCTTTATAATGTTGCTACCCATGTACTGAGGTAAACCCTGAATGTGTTCTCCAAATTAGGCCACAGAGCCAGAAGCTAACAGAATGAGAGAAGTCATACAAGGAGGGAAGAAGAACAATCCATCTGAATAAGGCATCGTCTTCACCAGTTGTCATGCTGAGTTGGTAGAGAGGCAGTAACCTGTGCCCAGAACTACCTGTCAGGCAAAAAATGCATAGTTTGCAATGTGAGGTTTTGTTACACGTTGTTTAAATTATAGTTCGTTTGCCTGAGATGCAATCGTTCCATTATTCATATTTATTTTTAGTGACAGCTACATGTAACTTCTAAAAAAAAAATATCCCCGTGGAAACACTTTTGGTTCCACTTGGGTTTTTGTTGTTTAACGTTTCTGCTACAGAGCTGGCCAGACCGGACTGACAGATTTGCAGTCACAAAGCAGAAGACTCTGTCTAAAGGAGAGAGTGAATACAATCGAAGTAATTGTTTTTAAAGCTGCAGGTTGTTACCATGGCAAGCATCAGCATTTCTGAGTTCTGTTCCTAACCCTGCAGAAGTCCTGATGCCTGTGCTTCTCTGTAGTGCTACATACTATCTCACGAGGCATCTCCTATCCTGGGCCAGAATGTCCTTATAAATATTAACTCAGGATAACCAACCCTTGGCAGAGCCTATGTGGGGGTGGAGAAGGATTCTATGAATTAAACAGAATGTCCAGTCCTATGCATGTAAACCATCAAATTTGTGAGATGTACTTACATACATATCATTTAAAAGTACAGGATACTGCAGATCATTATTAGAAACCTCTGTTACTTCCAGGGACCCGAATTCAGGATAGTACTTAAGCGCACACATAAACCTCAGTGAAGTCAGTAGGATTTAAACATATGTTTGAATGTTTCGATGAATCAGAAAGGAGTTTGGCTTGTTATTAAATGCTTCCGGGACCTTGGGTAATAAAACTGCCAAGACACCCAATGCTGAGATGAGTTTGAAAGCCTGTCATGTAGAATCTCTCTCCTTGATGTATTTAGTTTTGTTATAATCTATTTGACTTCTCTCTAGACAGTAGAAAATGGGCAGTGCAGTGGAGCTGCACAGGAAGCCTAACAAACCTTGCAAAATGTAGTCACCACTGTTACACTTGGAGCACATCTACACTGCTTCCATGGCACTCATGATGGGGGACACTCGAGTACATCCTGTCAGTTGTACCCAGTTGTACATGTCAAGCCTAGAAACACAGTGGTGAATCTGTGGGGGTGTTCCCTCATCCCTCCTGTTGTGACCCTTGCTTGTGGAATGCTAGAGCGACTGCAGCGAATGCTCTTGAAGCAACTTCACCATCACATTTCCAGGTTCAGTCTATGCATAGAGAACTAGCTGGATGGGGTGAGTGTGATAGTGATGCTCCCAAGGGATGTAACACAGCAACTCCATACCCTGGCAGTTGTGAAACACGGGGCACTGCTGGCAGTGGTGACAGTCAGCTGCCAGCTGTGGCGACCTGCCCTCCTCAGTTATGCTACTGACCCTAAGCATGCTATACAACCACGTGGACAAAACCTTGATGACCTGCTTCAATACTGAGGGTGATGAACAACCAGGCTGTTCCCTGATGTAACTTGGGGAAGACTGAGCTCACAGTACATGAGCAGCATCTACTTCATAAGCAATTCTATTACAAATCCTGATTCTCAAGGATTAACATTTCAGTCTCATGAAATCAAGCTGGGAAACCGTACCAGCAAGCACACATGCTAATTAGTGTTCATAACTATTTTGCAATCAGAAATACCTATGTCTTTAAATTCAGTCATTAATATTTTGGTCTCTTGATGAAATAAGTGTAATTTTATAGTGACTACATTAAAGCCAACTCAAAATTAAATGGTGTAAATGGTATAGAAAAAAAGGCATTACA